TTTAGGGTTTAGGGTTTAGGATCCAGCAACAAAGAGTTTTCACCCAAATCAGCAGCCAACCCGACACCCCTAAATCCTAAACCTTAAGCCCTCTGCCTATCTGAGCCCTGCATTCCCAAACTCTGGTCCCCGCCCGCGACATCACAAGCAAATAACGCCTTATGAACGCCTTAAACTCACTTCTAAAAGCCTATACACCCTCAAAACCTTCGGTAGCACACCATAAATAAGCGATCCTTTGAGAACCCTGTGAAGCTCTTATACCTGCTTTGGAAAAAGACCACCCAAACCCTAATGCGCAAAAGTGCCAAACCCCAAACCTCTATATAATCGAGCCCGCAACCAAAATTTAATAGAGCGCTAAACCCTAAACCATAAGCCCTGCAAGAGACCTAAACCCTAAATCCTTACAGAACGCTTTAGCCCTAAACCCTAAACCCTGAACCCGGGAATCTTGAAGGAATACAATTTTAGGGTTCAGGGGGTTCTTCAGACTCTGATAATGCCCCCCAGAAACCCCTTGGAGTTTTCAAACCCTAAACCCTAAATCCTAAATCCTAAATCCTAAACCCTAAATTCTAAACCCTAAACCCTAAATCCCAAACCCTTTTTTCATAATTTGCCGGCGGCACTCCGCCCTCACTGGTGGGGCGCGGGGGTGCCAAATTTTGAAACTCAGAGGTTGGAATCCGGTGGTGGGGCGTTCGGGTTCAGGGAGTTTAGGGGGCTAGGGGTTTAGGGAGATGTACGGGTTTAGGGAGATGAACGGGTTCAGGGAGATGTACGGGTTCAGGGAGATTCCAGGGTTTAGGGAGATTTGGTGGTTTCATATAACAGGATTCTTTGCATTTCTGTTTATGCGGCTTCGGAAGTTTAAAGGGTCTTACGACATTTTGCGGGCTAGGGGTTTACGTTTAGGGGTTCGGGGTTTCAGGGTTAGGGTTTAGGGTGACGTGAAAATCTCAACAGCTCCAAATATCCTGACACTGATTCTGCGAGGGGCGTTGCAATGAGGTCGGAATCCCCTTCTGGGGGCTCATGGGGGATTCTTGGCTTTAGATGGTTTAGGATGTCAAGAGGGGGCCTGACTAGTAGAATGGGGTTCTGGGGTGTGACATGCTGTCACCTTAGCATCAAAATAGCCCAAAAGCCTTATATAATAGGGTCTTCGGGTCCCAAAGCCTTAAATAGGGTAGGCGAAAGTGCAACATGGAACCCCAACAATGGTATGACTGATGGCTCTTCAAGCTTCCATATCGGAGCCTCATGTGGGTTTAACAGGGAAGTTTAGGGTCAAGCAAGGGTTTTTAACGTTTTACGACTTTCTTGGAGCGGCTTGGAGTTTTACTAGGGCTTCAGGGTTCAGGGTTAAGGTGCGTGGTTTAGATTCTTCGTCGGGGTTTTGGAGAGGTTCACGGAGGCTACGTAAGTTTATGTAACCGCTCTAATCTTTAGTCATGAAGGAAACCCAGGAGACTCAGTAGATGCAGCGACAGGCAAGCCAATTGCAGCCTGCAGCACTAGCAACCTCAACTAAGGCTACTCAAACGTGCTTAAACTTTTCCCGGCAGATGAACCTCCTAAGTAAACCTTCCCGAACCCTGACCCTAAACCCTAAACCCTGCAGACCCATGTTGCTGAGATGCTCGAGAACAGTAGGGTCTACTCCGGCGCACTTGGCCCAACCTCGCTCTGTCTGAAACTATGCAACACACCTCGGGAGGACCTCGGACCCCGACCGGTGCGGGAAGGCGTGGCACTGGGGGGGAGTGTTTGGAGGGGTTTGGTTGGTGTCTATCAAGGGAGCTTTTTTAAAGGTTTTATAGGGAGTTTAGAGGCGTGTTTGGGATTCGGCTTTATGGCCAGAAGGAGTGTGAAGGCATTCTATAGTACAGCTGTGTAAAAACCAAAACGGGAAATGCAGACGTCTCCATTACAAACCCTAAACCCTGCCAAAGCCCTTATTCGCCTCGGCCCCGGCCGAAGCTGTCAGAGGTTCCTAAAGTGGCCACCGTGGGGTCGGCAGGTCGTCTGTGTGAACCCATAAATGAGCCCAAAGCTCCTGCGGCGAAATCTCGCCTCCTCCAATGGATCTGGGCTGTCTGTAGGGATCCGTCCTCCTATCTCCGAAACCCTCCCCCCTCCATACGGCATTATCGGCTGGTTTTATGTTAAAACGGAATGCCTGGTGAGGGGACGGGGGTCTAGGCAGCTACCCAGGAGCGTCAGAAACAGCTTACAGGGTCCGTGCAGGTGTGGTGACGGCTCATCTCGAATGTCACGCATTTCCCGCCGCCAAAGTCGCACGAGCTTGGGTCGGTTACCCCGAGACCGCGCCCCGTTGCAAGCCGCCTCAGGCCTCAGGGAGCAGGTAAAACAGGAGGCCTTGCGTCATGCTCGTCTGGCAGAAGCTAGAGCAAAGTCGGCAAGCTGTTCTGCGGGCAAGGTTTTTCTTAGTGGCCAAACTTGCACAAGCTGGTCCTCCATTTGTCTGCGGTCGGCTTCCCCCAGACCGCGCCCCTAGGGAGCCGCCTTAAGCCGCAGGCAGCACAGGCGGACTCACTTCGTGGACATCCTTCAGAAACTTGACAAAAGTCTGCAGGCCGTCACTTGCCACTGGCGTCACACCAGAGAACTTTGCCCAAACGGAGCTCGCGTAGTCAGACTTTAGCAGGTCCCGCAGTTTTTGCCGCGGAGGACGACTTCAAAGAAGCCACCAATGCGACTTTTCAGCTCTGCCCAAGAAGGCCGCCGACGAAGCAGTTTCGGGGCCGGGGCGCCAAAATTGTTACCTGGCAGAGCAGACGTCCTTAATCCCCGAAACACAAGCGCCAGTCATGCAGCGAAATGTTGGCTTTTTGACACCAACCTTCTTCAGCACCTCGACTTGCCCCTCAGCATTCAGAAGCGGTCCTGCAGCGATGTTCTCGTACATGGTGCGCATCTCTTCCATGTAAGCGATCATGGCTTCCCTGCCCGCCTTCGTGGGCATGAAGGTCTCTCTCGTGTAGAAGACCTTCTGGTCGCTGCTTGCGCAAACGGCTTGCTGCGCTGCATCCGCTGCGAGGACGAGCTTCAGCGTAGCAGCCGCTGCCTTGGCGCCGTTTTCCCCGATGATGGCCACGTCCAACCGACCCACGCCATATCTGATCCACGATGGTGAGCTGGCCGTGCGCCATCGCGTGCAGCCGGAACGCGATCACCTTGTAGGGGCGGCATCCCTCGGCGTCCTGCTGAAGGGACGGACGGAAGGCAGTGATTGCCGTGGCCGCCTAAGGATCTGCGGCCTCCTTTCCAGAAACCTCCGCCACCACCATCTGGGAAAAGGTCCTCCCAGCATTGGCGCCTCGGAGCTATGAAGTCTAGGACTTCGCATCTCATCAGGGGTTGGGCTACAGGGCTCACTTTCGGCCTTTAGCTACTTTAGCTCCATTTTCTTCGGGCTGATTGCTGCAGCAGGACGCGACTCCCTGTTGCCGACCACAAGCCGTGAGCCCGCAAGGCCTTCGCTAGAAAGGCCTGGTCTTGGGGCCAAGCAGTTGCGCATGCAGAGGAATCCCCCTTTGTGGCGCACCATGCCCACGAAGGCACAATGATATCGGAGGAAAGAGTGTGGAATCGAGCAAGCCAGCACACCACCAACGTACTCAACTCAATCATGCTAGGCTCCACAATGCAGATAGCATGCTTCCCGGCTCACACATGTAGGGGTTCGGGTGGAGCCCGTCCGCTGCTGGCATGATCTGGTCTGAGAAAAACTTGAGCGCGACCTGGATGCGGACTGGAACAATGCCCCAAGTCCAGGGTCTGCAGGAAGGGTGTCGCCGCAGTCAGGGTGGCAACTTGGTCACATAGGCACAGCGCGCACAAGCTCGCCGACTCGACCCACTGTGGCCCCGGGCTGCACGAGCAGGCGTGCCGGCTTGCCGGCCACGCCCTGTAGGACTGCAGCGGCGCCACTGTGGCCGACCCAGTGCGTCTTCTGCTCCAGTGCCGGGGCAAACCAGTGCCGTCCTGCGCCGAAGAGGCCGGCCAAGGTCACACCCATCTGACCGGCTTTGGCCTGCAAGCGCTGCCTCACCCCAATAATGCAGCTTGCAGTCCAAATCTCAGATCCTCAACCACTTTGGGTTCCAGCAGCGCCCACGTAGAAGGATTGCTGCACAAAGTGCGGCGAAGCATCAGCACCCAGCACGCGGCTGAAAGGTGCGTGCTCAGAGCCGCTCGATCCGGGAGCATCTGCTGCGCCAGCCTCGGATGACGTTGGAGCTGTGCCTGTTCCATGAACAGGGGAGCAAACACAAAGTATATACCGAGTTTAGGGTTTATGGTTTAGGGCTTATAGGATTTAGGGTTTATAGGATTCAGGGTTGTTTTTTAAGGGTTTAGGGTTTAGGGTTTGGGGCTTCAGGGTTTTGCCATCGCGGTCCGACGGTCTCGCTAAGAATCGACAAACGGACACTTTCACGAGATCGGATGAGAGTAGCACTCAGCAACAGGGAAGCCATCTCGCAGCATAGATCCCTTCAATTGGGACCCTAAACCCTGAACTAAGATCTAGATGTTCAAGCGTAGACCGTGCCACCTGCAACATTGACTGCTCCCTTTGACTTACGGGTAGTTCTCTGAATTAGGGAATTAGGGCTTCTTAAGGGTTTCTATGGGGCTGCTGTAAGGGCACTGGAAGCATTCTATACAGGTAGTTCCCTAAATTGGGGGCCCCTTTCGGGTCCTTTCTATAGGGGTGTACTATTCCGGGGACCTGAAAAGGAACCCTAAATTACAGATGTATGTTCGTGGTAGCAAGTCTAGATCAGATTTTTGTTGTTGGAGACGGGTGAGGGCAATTACTCAAAGGCGTCCTTCGTGTAGAGTTGGGAATTTGGGGTGCTGGATTTAGTGAGTAGGGTTCCGGCGCGGTCATGGCAGTTTTCGGATTTTAGGCATTGTGGGACTGATGTTTTGGGGTTGGGGTGGGTTTAGGTGAGATTGTAGGCACCACGGTCCGCGACCCTCGAGTCACAAACCCCAACCCCAAAACCCTAAACCCTAAACCCCTAAACCTCAAACCCTGAGCCCCAAACCCCAACCCTAAATCCTAAACTCAAAGGTAGTAAGCTCCTCCTATTGCGCTGAGAAGGTGCTGGCTGTCTTCGTGGCTGTCATCCGACTATCCGTTCCCTCGCTCCTTCCGCCGCCCCTGGTGCTATGTAGAAGCCCGAATCTCCAATGCCAAGAAGCATGGCTGTAGGGTGTCCGGTTGAACTTCACAAACCCTAAACCCTAAACCCTATAAACCCTATAAACCCTAAACCCTAAACCCTACACCCTATAAACCCTAAACTCTAGACACAGGGAATGATTACGGCGCCTATCTGAGGGTGTTTGGGGAGTCAGGGTTAGGTTTTAGGGGTTAAGGGTCTAGGGTCTGGGGTTTAGGGTTAGGGTCTAGGGTCAAGTATTTAGGGTGTAGTGTCGGCTTTAGGGTCTAGGGTTTAGGGCTTGGAGGTTTGGGCTAGAAAGAAAACAGCTGCTCTGGGGCTCACTGCGCCATAGCTACTGCTGCTGAAAATGGCTGTAGGGCGTATACGGTCTTTTGCCAATGCCAGTACCTTGCCATTTGGCCTACAAGCAGCTAGTGTTGATGCGAGATGGCACTGGAAAACGGACGAGTTTCTGTGCTTACAAGTGCGGCTGTAAGCACTGCAACCATAGAACAACCATTCACAACCCTTGGTAGGTTTGGCAGCACTTATAAGTGTAAAGCTTGCGAAGGGCTTGGGCTGAACACCATTCTCTGGGCAGGAAAGCAACGCAGGCTGCTTGTATGCTACGGAGGACAAGGCAAATGATCAGTTCAGCCTCACACTTCCAATGACCCATGCCAGTTGGGTCTTATACAGAATTGAACACAGGGTTTAGGGTTTAGGGTTTTAGGGGACAATTCCCAAGCCTTCTCCTCCGCGCAAGTTCGCACACCTCGCCCTCCTGGAAGATCTCTTCCGTGACATCTTATGAGGCAGCGCCAGTTGCAAGGGAGGATCCCGGAACGAGGGACGCCCCAATTAGGGTTTGGGGATTAGGATTTACGATATTCTATGGTACACACATATATAGATATACATATATATATATTTATATTATATTATATTACCTTATCTTATCTTATCTTGTGATATACTTTATTGTACAGTATGCTGTTGTATTGTATTGAAAATGTATTTATATTGATACCGTATTATATATGTTATGTTGCATTAAATTGTATCATGCCGTAATGTGTTGTATGGTAGCGGAGTGTATCGTATTGTAGAGTATTGCCTTATATAAACTTTTCTGTTACCGTGTGTAATAGTATAGCTTAGTATGGTATATGGTGAAGTATAGTATAGCAGATAAGAGTAGAGTGGGAGTAGAGTAGTGTCTAGTACAGAACAGTATAGACAAGTATGGTATAGCATAGTAGAGTAGAGTAGAGTAGAGTATAGTGCAGTATAGTGTAGTATAATATAGTATAGTATAGTATAGTATAGTATAGTATAGTAGAGTGTGGTGTAGTGTAGTGTAGTGTGGTGTGGTGTAGTGAAGTATAGTGTAGTGTAGTATAGCACAGGCAAGCACCGCATAGCACCGCATAGCAGACCATAGCACGGTATAGTTTAGTATAATATGCTATGTTACTTTCGTTATGTTATATGACCTTGTATTATCTTACCTTACCTTGCCTTACTTTCTATTATGTTATACTATAACCTATTATCTCACGTAATATATTGTTTTGTTGCCTGTGTTATCTGATACTAGATTCTGTTAGATTGTCTCATATGCCAATAATTGTAAATTGCATTGGAAAAACTATGTGGCATTGCACTAGACTACACTACATTACATTGCATTACACTACATTACATTACAATACATGGTGTTGCATTACATGTGTATTCTAGGATAGTATTTACATAAAGGCTATAGGGAGATACTATCCTGATTCATGCAGATCTTTATGGCATGAGGGTGTGTGATTGAGAGTCCTTTGTATTTTTCAGGTCTGGATCAGGACGGAAGAAATGAAGTATTCGAACTTAAACCCTAAACTAGACCCTAAACCCTAAACCTTAAACCATAAACCCCTAAACTCTTTCCTAGCGAGTTCAGGGTTTCGACGGACTACGATGAATGCGGTCAGAGTCGTTCTTGTCTGGTGCCGGGACTGTATCATCACAGGTATCCTTTAGATCCTGCCTGGCTTGGGTCTAGCCTTTGGGGCTTGGGGTTTAGAAGCACCAGAAAGGTTTAAGGAAACTGATGTAAACAAGCAGATCACAGAGAGAGCCTGAAAAAAGAAACTTACTAAACCCCATGTAAACCGTAGAAATCCTTCTAGATTGAAAGACACCCCGAAACCCGTAAACCCTAAAACCCTAAACCCTAAACCCTAAACCCTTAACCCCTAAACCCTAAACGCCTAAGCCCTAAACGCTAAAGCGCTAAACCCTGGCTACCTAGTTTGGGAGCTCTGTTTTCACAATTTTCGATGTCCATAGGAGACCTGGGGCTTACGGGATTTCAAGTGATTTCCGACGGAACAGTTTAGGGTCTCGGGCTTAGGGCTTTAGGGCTTTAGGGCTTTAGGGCTGTAGGGTTTTAGGGTTTAGGGCTTGAGGGCTTTAGGGGTTTAGGGGGTTAGGGGTTTAGGGGTTTAGGGGTTCAGGGGTTTGGTGTTTAGGGTTCAGGGGTTTAGAACCCGCCAGGTTCCGGAATCCCGCGCCAAGCAACGCCTGGGCTTCACTGGCCAAGCTCTTCTCACTGCTTGACGGCTGAATCCTGCCCCTACGGCCTAAACCCTTCATCCCTCAGACTTCAACATCCCTACCACGATAACCCTAAACCCTAAACCCCCAAACCCTAAAACCCTAAAACCCTAAACCCTAAACCCCTAAACCCCTAAGGCTCCAAAACCCCTAAACCCGAAACCCTCAACCCTATAGTATTCTTTACACAACGTTCGAGGCCAAGGTTCCCAACTACACTTTAAAGTAATAGAAGGGCCTTAAGAATTAGAATAGGGCTTGTGGGGGGTTCCTTGTTATAAATGTAGTATATAAAGGGCCCCAAAACCCTATTCTAATTTTTAAGGCCCTTAAAGTAATCCAAACTCAGACCAGGGGGGGCCCCGTCCGCACCGCAAAATGCACAGCAGGTTTAGGGTTCAGAGCTTTAAGGCTTTAGGGTTTTAGGGCTGAGGGTTTTAGGGTTGAGGGCCATCCGGTGGTGAAGCCATGATTACAACAGGTTGTCGTCGTGGTGGCACTGGTGCCGGTGGTGCTGTGCCGGTGGTGCTGTGCCGGTGGTACTGGTGGTGTTTGGTGGTGGTACTGGTGGTGGTGGTGGCGCTGGCGCTGGCGCTGGCGCTGGTGCTGGTGCCGGTGCTGGTGCTGGTGCTGGCGGCTGTACAAGAAGCAGCACTGATAGCTATTCATGGTACTCGAAGCTTCTTCAAACAAACGTCAGGGGACAACATGCTTTTCACACCCAGAAGCTCACAGCACCCGCTGTCTTGTGCTGCTGTGCTACCGCCAAATGCTGCAGTACTTAGGGTTTAGGAGTTTAGGGTTTAGGGTTTAGGGTTATACTTATCAACACTACCACTATACAAAGGAGGAACATGACCAAGCTTTATAGACCCCATCCCATGGCCTCAGAACACTCGAAACCCTATAAACTAGACCTTACTGCCTAAGCCTCAAATCTTGAGCCTCACGGCTTCGAGTTTAGAGCCTGGGGCTTAGGGCCTGAATGCGGTAACCCGAAGCCCTAAACCCCCTAAACCCTAAACCCTAAACCCTAACAAAACCCTAA